ATGTATGAGAGTGAGAAGAAATCCGTGATGTAATGAAGTGTTCTAGCTGTTAAAGCATTATTTTTGTCTTGCAGCTACATCATTTATTTGTTTTTACTGAGTGTTTAAAAGAAAAACAATATTACTTACTTGATTCTCCAAGGCACTTTCAACGCAGCTAGGTGAGATTTGTAACTTTTCCATCATCAAGTCAATCTTTTCTTCAACTAGAACATGACATAAACATGGGCATCATCAATAATTTTGGGTCAGTAGGTATATTATCCAAAATAAGAAAACTTTTTTAATATCCCAGGAAGTTCTTTTCTCAATATTTTTGCACTACTTTCGATGACAAGCAAAGTTCCCTAGCTTGATGACTGACCATTGAGCCTGTACTAAACAAAACGAAAAAGGCATACCTGACAAAGGAAATGATCCACCATATTTCTTTTTGTAGCGTCCAGTGATTAACGGAAACAAACGATGGTGGTAATAAGTCCTGTACTCTTTCCGTCGATTATCTGCGTCCTAAAATCATATAACTCTTAGCAGTTTAGGGAATTATGGCTGGGAAGCTATATCTCGTGATATATTTGTATAACCGTGCTGAAATTTTGCCTTATTATTAAATTAGACGTTTTCTCTTCCCTTAAAGGAGAAAAACAGTCCAAACAGTTTACTTTTTTGTCTCGACGTATAGCAAGTAAACATTTAGGTTTTCCACTCACCCAAGTTTCAGCCTCTATAAAGCCTGCTATCCCGAAGGAATTCCTCTCGAAAGAAGCTCAAAATTCGACTTTGGGGGAAGCCATTTTGAAAATGTACTTGGCAGCCAGGTCGTGTTTACGTGACGTCATTCCGTCCAATTCGCGCTAAGTCGAAATTGGCGGGAAGCAGAAAAACCTTCAACTGGTTTGGCATCCTTCACAAGGTTAGCAAAATGCATTTTTTTTTTTTCTATTGATTATCCTCTTTACTATCTTCAATGCTATCATTTTCTGGGTTTGGAGCAAGTTTGGCTCGAAATAACACGTTTCAAGAGCATTCATAACCCAAAGTGGTGGTTAAAGGTCTTGTCGGGAGCCATCGGGACATAATCCCTTGGACGGAGAAACGCCACGAAAACGCAGGCTGGCTGCTCAAAACTGTTCAAAATGGCGGCAACGATGTCGGTTTTTGGGCTTCATTGGAGACGAAGTTTTTAAGGAAAACCTGCACTTTAGAGGCTGAAACTTCGGTGAGTGGCTAGACTTAGTGCGAGGTTTTTTGTTAGCGTTGACAAAAATAATACGTTTTTTGGAGTGACCTTCTCCTTTAACTTATTCTTTTAATTATCTGTCACGTGACTTGTCACGTGCTCATTTTGTTAAAATTTGGTAAATCGGCGAATTGGTTGAGAACTCACCTTTGTACGATTGAAATGATCTTCAGAAAATACAAATGATTAAATGTCGAATTTTCTCGAAAAAAGAAAACCTTTGACCCAATAACATTTTTCTCCGAAAGCTGAAAATAATTGCCCTGCATCGGCCTACATCTAAAACCCGTTTTCGCTGGATGACCAATTCGTGAAATATTGGTTATTTTCCACTTAACGTCACGTGACTTGCCACGCGACCCGTCTGAAGAACCAAATTTACCAAATTTACCTCAAAATGACAACCTCCCTGTAATTGTGTAAAATTGTGTACTAATTTTGGTGCCGTTGTCGCTTATGTCTTTAGAAATTAATCTAACCGATAATTATTTTTACCAAAAAAATTTTTGACCCAGGCCTTAATTAAACAGCTTGAGAAATTTGAAAAGTAGTAAATTACAGGAATGGATTTTTTGACTTCGTAGGAACTTCGGTTTTGCTTGCTATCTCACGTGACCTCCGATTGTATGCAAATGCGAGGTAGAATTGAAAAATTAAACGAGACTTACCTCAAGTAAGACAGGGTTCAGTTACGGATTTCAATATTACATAAAGAGCTTTATAGTTTTCCAAGCACGACTGCAGTACTCGATCGGTTGCTGGTTAATAAGTTAAAACAGCGAATACCAAACGAGCTCGGTGTCACGATTCTCAGAAAACGTTTTAGCGATCATTCAGTCTAGAAGCTGAAGTTGTTTTGGTTTATTGTTTTGTTTATCAGTCTTCAGTAAAGAAAAAATACTAAGCGCTCGCTGAAATTGACTGCGATCGCCAAGCTACTTATTCAAATTCACTTCACAGAATTTCATACCCGATGGAATACGACCCCGTTCCTGTAATCATTTCCCGCTGTCAAGGCGTTCACCCATTGGAAAAAAAAGAGACTGTAACCGCAAATATCACGGTCCATTTTGTGCAACTTGTCCGTGTTTTGTAACTCATTTCGACGACCGTCGATAAAAAGTAAATTTATCGTAACACCTTTGGACTGTTCATGTACAATTTTTGATAAGAGAAAGCTGAGAATTGTGGATGAATGACTTGAGAGAATACTTCATAACAGACCCGAATATGGCGTCAGATTAGGGAATGTTTTACGTACAGTTTTAATGTATCGTGTACCTACTCAGTCGTACCAAACCCTAAGAAAACATGCTTTCGTGGCACTAGATGACTCTAAAGCTGTTGTTTTCACATGCCTGGATAACTAGTCACTAATTTCTTTCGATCTTCTTATCCTTTAACGAGTTCCAAACGAAATCATGATATTAAAATGAGGTGTGACATTATTTTGGACCGTATTTTCTTCGCACCCCGATAGAGCGTCTAAAATTGATAGTGTTCCGGATGGGGTTAATACGTTTAAATATTGCTGAAGGAGATGGAAACTCATTTATATTGCAAAACATGTTGTGATTTTGCAGTTCAGTCTCAACTCCCAAAACAGATCGTACCAATTTCCGAGCAATTTCCCATATTAAATGTTTTCCCTTCCTACAAAAAA